CTTAATCAGCAAGTGTTTGTTAAGAACTAATGTTGTTCATTCTTCCACAGATATTTATTGATTACCTGCTATGTGCTGGGTGGGCGCTTTCTAGGTACTGCAGATGCAGTAATGAACACAAAAAGACAAAAATGTCTCTATTGGAGAGTTTACATTTGAGAGTTCTAACTTTTTTATGAGGTAGAGCATTATTTTGTCTATTTCTTTGAACATGTATGCTGATTCTGGTGGCGCTCTCCAGGCTTGGGAGCCACTGCTCTGCTCTCTACTTCTCTATTTGAAAGAGAAAGAGAAAGAAGGAATGCATGAAAACAAAAGAACAAAGGAAAGACTAAAAGACAGGGAAGTAAGCTGTCTTTCACAGTGAAAGCTGCATTAATTAGCACTAAAAAGCTGCATTTAGCGCCGCATTTAGTACTGTGCAACTGGCAAACCCTAGCTGCTGGTAAACCTGATATCTGCTAATGTAAGTCTTCAGTCTCCTGACTTGGCACGCGTGTTAAATTTCACTGGGATAGGCAGGCTAACCTGGGCTTCAATACGGTTCAAACTTACCAGTCCTGTTTATCCTATCTTTCTTTCTTTCTTTTTTTTTGGAGGGGTGGAGGGAATGTAAAAAAAAAAAAAAAAAAAAAAAAAAAAAAAAAAGTCACTGGGCTTGCAAACACTAAGAATCTATGAATTACTTTTCTTATCTTTTTTGTTACTAATAGTAAAATAGAAACGACCCATGACCATGTAAATTAACTTTTATTCAACCAAATTTTTGATCAGGTGTCACCCTTTATCCCTTTAACATGTTGTAGAATAAAACGCTTATTTTGCTTAAACTACTTTCTTCCCACATGTAAAAGAACTACTTACTTCATGCATATAAAAGATAAAACTTGCCACTGAAGTTCTGAGGGAACCTGGAGAGATCAGGGTCAAGGACAGACTATCACGAAAGGCTGCCCTGAGAAAGGAACTGACGTACATTTTAAAAGGAAGCACAGTCATGGATTGGCTGGACAGGGAGGAGGTTGCAGGCAGAGAGAATGTTTCAGGCTATGGTGCAGAGGTAAGTACGTGTACAAGTACAAGGGATTACAAACTTCCGTGACTAGAGCAGCCGGATACGCGAAGAAAAGTGGATCATTCCTCTAATGTCCACTGTATGCCAGGCACAATGCTAAGCCTGGGGACACAGTGGTAAACAAAACACAAAATCACTGCTTCCAAAACAGTCACCATCTAGTGACACAAAACATGAAGTAATTATAAATGATTTTTTTTCTAGGAAATAAATCAATAGTGGTTAGTCTGAGAATGTTCTCAGAAAAAATACGGCATATGTGAAGGCGCTGGGATGGGGATGAGTTCAGTGTGTTCTAGGAATTGACAGAAGTTACTGTGAACAGAGCACAGCAGGGAGGAGAGAGTGGCAGGAGTTGCACTTGGGAAAACAGGAAGACAGAGCCTGCGTATCTTACAGCCAGTGAAATCAGTGCAGTACGTTTGGGATTTAGTGGTAATGCAGTGGGTAACTGCTGTAAGATTTTATAGCAAGGAAGTGATGTACATTTTCAAAAGATCGAAAGATCACCACGGCTATTGAATGGTAAATGGATCTGAGAAGATGTGGGGAAACTGTCACCATGGTCTAATGAGAAATGAAGGCAGTTTGGGCAAGGATGGTTTCGTGAAGTCGGAATATCTGGGGCTGAATGGTGTCCTCTTCAAAGTTCACATGTTGATATCTGATCCCTCAGTATCTCAGAATATGATTGTATTTGGAGACAAGACCTTTAAAGAGGTAGTTAAGGTAAAATGATCATATTTACGGGCCCCAGTCCAATGTCGCTAGTATCCTTATGAGAAGAGGAGATTAGGGCACAGACAGCACATATGTGAAGACACCAGAAGACAGCCATCTCCAAGCAAGGAGAGAAACCTCAGTAGAAACCAACCCTGCTGACACCTTGATGTTGGATTTCTAGCCCCCAGAAGTGTGGGGAAATGTATTTCTGCTGTCTAAGCCACACCGTCTGGGATACTTTGCTATGGCAGCCCTGGCAAACTAGTATTTGGAGGGTAGGGGCTGTATTTCAGATGTATTCTTGGACCCAGAACCAACATTACTTGTGGATGGATTGCATAGCCATGGGGATGGGGAATGGGAACTGGAGAAGTCAAGGATAACTCTCAAATTCCTGTTTTTAGAACTTACAGAAAAAAAAATCTACTTAAAATATTTAACAAGAAACAATCTTATGAAATAAAAAGGCAACAGTTGATTGAAGGCCTTGAAATCTGGAATGAAAGATGGGAATAAAAATGATGGGAAAGTAACAATGTAAATGTCTAAGTCGTTGACTGTATCAGTTGTTGGTGTGCGATACACAATAGGAATGAGAGAGCAAGGGTGAAAATGGCACTTGAGGGAAATGGGCTTCGATTCATAGACAATTGATGGGAGCAGAAAAGGCCAAATGGAGCCTAGGAGAGCAGCCAGGAATTGGCTGCAGGAATTCAGGTGTGAGCCGAGAAGTGTCTGATGTCCCTGGGTTGAAGGAACTGAAGACATTTCAGTAAACATTCAGTGCTTTCAGTAAATGCACATTTGCATCCACGTACAGTGTATCCTTGAACACCGTGGGTTTGAACAGCAGTACTCAACACGCAGATTTCCTTCATTACATACACACTATGGTACCACACGAGACTGGTTGAATCCTAGGGTGTGAGACAAAGGGCCAAGTGTAAAGCTATAT